CTTTTTTTAAAGATATTTTTTGTCTTTAATTTTATGTGTATGAGTGTATTGCCTGCATGTATGTAAGTGTGGCCCTATATGTGCCCACACACATGCACAAATGCATGCACGTTATGCACATATATACATGAAAAAGAAAAAAATTGCTATGTGTGGTGGCTTTGGAATGAGGCAGGAAGATTAGGAGTTTAAAACCATCCTCAGCTACATAGCCTGGACTACGTGAGACTATCTCACAAAAAAGAAAGGAAAAAAAAAGTCAGTCATGGAGGCACACTCCTGTAATCTCAACACTCCAGAGGTTGTAGGAAGAGGATTGTCACAAGTTTGATACCTGCTTAGGCTATATGGAGATTTCCAAACTAGATTGGGCTACATAGCAAGAGCCTGTCTGAAAAAAAAAATAAAGTTGGACATGGTTGTTCATTCCTGTCAATCCCAGCACTGGAGAGGTTGAAGTAGGACAACACCAAGAGTTCAAGGCCAGCCTGTGTTACATAGTAAGTTCCAGGTTTGCCTGGGATGCATATCAAGACTCTGTCTCCTTGGTCAAAAACAAACACAAACAAGCAATCAAGAAAAAATTATGATAGCTTACACCTGTAATTCCTAGAACTTGGGAGCTTAGGCAGGACAATCACCAAGTGTTTGAAGATAGCCTAAGTTAGAGAGTAAGATTCTGTCTCAACCTCCACCCCATAAAAAAGCAACATAGAAATAGTGATTAGTGACATTTGCCTATGATAATTTAACCTATAGTAAGTAACAAACAGGGCTATCAGATACAAGGAGAAGGTTTTTTTGAGATCATATTTGACTTAAAAACAAGCAGAGACTAGCCATAAGTCCCTATTGGCTAATGGGGGAAATGAAATCTACTTGAGATAAGATCTTTCACTTTCCTTATTACAAAGCTTACCTTTAGCCAGTCCAGTGATTATAGGTTTGGCCTATAATAAATAAATTTTTAAAAAAGTGTTACCCTAGACAGGTATACATTAGCTGCATGTTGCTAAGACAAAACACACTGACAAAAGTAATGTAAAGAAGGGTAGGGCTAGAGAGATGGCTCAAAAGTTCAGAATATTTGGGGCTGGAGAGATGGCTCAGTGGTTAAGAGCACTGACTGCTCTTGCAGAGGACCCAGGTTCAATTCCCAGCACCCACATGGCAGTGGAATTGTCCTTAACTCCAGTTCCAGGGGAATCCAAAGCCTTCTTCTGACCTCCGTGGCATTGAATGACCTCCGTGGCATTGCATGACATGGGTGCACTCGCATACATGCAGGTAATACACTCAAACACATAAAATAAAAATAATAATTTTTTTTTAAAGTTAAGAATATTTGCTGCTCTTCCAGAAAACCTAAGATTGATTCCAGCACCCGCATTGGGTGGCTCACAACTGCCTATAAGTCCAGTTTAGGGGATCTGATGCCCTCTTCTGGCCTTTATGGGCACCTGCACCAACATAGCATACAGACATAGCACACAAAACAAAAATAGCTAGGTGTAGTGACACCCAACTTTAATCTCAGTAGAGGTAGGCGCACCTCTGTGAGTTAGACATAGCTCCGTGAGTTCAAGACTAGCTTGCTCTACATAGCAAGTTCCAGGCCAGCCAGAGCTACGTAGTGAGACCCTGTTTCAACAAAACAAAAGGAAACAAAAAAATCCTTTTTTAAGAAAAAAGAGGATAGGTTTATTTCAGCTCATAGTTCAAGGGTACAGTTCATCATGGTGAGGAGGTCAAGGCTGCATGAGCTCAAAGCAGCTGGTTTGAGAATATGATGAAAACGGACAGGCTTTGTTGGGCATGCCTTTAATCCCAGCACTCTGGAAGTAGAGGCAGGCGGATATCTGTGAGTTCAAGGCCAGTCTGGAGTCTGGTCCACATAGTGGGCCAGCTGTGGCTACAGGGAGACCCAGAGGTGCAGGCAGGACAATCGGGAGTTTAAGGTCCTCCAAGGCTGTACATAAATTAAAAATTTTTTGGTAGCCAGGTGTGGTGGCGCATGCCTTTAATCCTAGCACTTGGGAGGCAGAGGCAGGTGGATCTTTGTGAGTTCGAGGTCAGCCTGGTCTACATAGTGAGTTCCAGGACAGCTGGGGCTACAGGGAGATCCTGTCTCAAAAAGACAAAAAAATATATATATTTTTTGGTTATTTATTATTTCTTTTTTATGTATATGAGTGCTTTGCCTGCATGTATATAAATGCACCACAAGTGTGAAATGCACACTTTTTTGAAAATCATTCAAAATTGAAAGATGAACTGGAAAAATGGCTCAGAGTTTAAGAGCACTTGCTGCTCTGTCAGAGGACCTGAGTTTGATTCCCAGCACCAACATCAGGTGGCTCATGGCCCTTTGTAATTCCAGCTCCAGGGGATCCAGCAGCCTCTTCTGTCCACAGGTACCCACATGCACTGTACATCTCCACATATACACATACACATAAAAAAACTTTTTAAAATTTTCAGAGATGTGAGTTGGGAATGTAGCGTTTATCTAGCATGCACCCCTGAGTTCAATACCCAGTATTGCATGAACCAAGTGTGGCAATGCATGCCTATAACTAGTCCTTGGGAAGTGGAAGCTGTAGATCAGAAGCTGAAGGTCATCTTTAGCTACATAGTGAGTTTGAGGCTGCCTGGGCTGCATGAGACCCTGTTTTGGTTTTGGTTTGAAAAAATTGTTTGTTTATTATTTATTTATTGTATTTATTATTTTTATTTTAATATTGCCTGCATGTGTGTAAGCGCACCCATGTCGTTCAGTGCCTGTGGAGGTCAGAAAAGGGTGCTGGATCCCCTGAAACTGGAGTTATAGACAGTTGTTAGCTGTCATGTGGGTGCTAGGACTCAAACCCAGGTCCTCTGTAAGAGCAGTCGGTGCTCTTAACCGCTGAGTCATCTCTCCAGCCCCATTTACTTTTTTTTTTACATACATATTTGTTTATTTATTTATTTATTTATTATTTATTTATTTAGTGTCTGAATGCATATGTGTGAGTGCAGCACATGTTTGGAGGTCAGAGGGCAACTTATGGGAGTTGATTCCCTCCTTTCATCATGAGGGCTCTGGGGACTGAACTTAAGTTTTCAGACTTGGTGGCAAGCACCTTTATGTACTGAGCCATCTTGATGTCTGAAGACTCTGTTTAAACAAAAACAAATAAAAAAAATAACAAGGATGCTGTGTTGGTAAATATGGGTCTCCTATAATTTTTTTGTATGTAAAATGAAATTCATGATTTTACCTTTCTTAGTATCATGGTGAAATTAGATGAATGAAAATCATTTAGAACAGTGTCTAAGGGAAATGTCATGAAGACACAATAAATGTCACCTTATTCCAGTATTTCTACAATATAACTTATTACTAGGTCTATGAATGGTTGTTATGTTGCTCCTAGTCTTTTGCTATTCAATTCATTCTGCAGTCTAAGATCTGTCTGAGCAGGACAGAAGTACCAAACTTGATTCTGTTGGTTCAAGACTATAGTTTGGAGCCAGTGATTAAGGCGATTGCTGAATTCCATCCTTGGGACCCACACAGAAGGACAGAACTGACTTCTGAATGTTGTCCTCTGACTTCTACCATGTACGTAGCGTGCAAATGTGTGTGTGTGTGTTTCTGTGTTTCTGTGTGTGTGTGTATGTGTGTGTGTGTGTGTACAAAATAGATGCAATAAAAGAAATTTTAAAAAAGGATTGTAGTTAGCTAAGTGTGCTGATCCACTACCTGTAATCCCAGCACTTGAAAGGCAGAGGCTGGAGAATCAGGAGTTCAAGATCATTACTGACTAAATAGGGAGTTCCAGGGCATCCTGGATCACATGAGACCCATCTCAAAACAACAAAACAAAACAAAACAAAAACAAACAAAAGACAGAAAAAGACTAAAGGCAAGCAGAGCTATGCATAGTGACCTATGCCTGGATTCCTAGCCTTTAGAAGGCTAAAGCAGGTGAACTGCCTTGAGTTCAGTTAGCCTGGACTACAAAGTGAAACGCTGTGTCAAAACAAACAAGCACATTCCTACAATAAAAACAAGGAAAAGAAACAAACCCCAAGCCTTTGTATTCTGGTTCTAAGATTTTCCTTTTAAAGTAAAGCTAGCCAGACAGCTGCCTTGCATTTGGTTTTATGTCTCATGAATTTCCAAACAATATCCTGTTGAGACTGTGATAGGCAACAATCCTGGCAAACTTCCTTTCTACAACTGCACACCCCCACACAACAGCTGTGCCTCTGAAAACACTTCCCAGTTTTCTTCATTCAGTTAAATTACTTCCTTTATTAATTTTCCTTACTTCATCCCTAGATTGAGTTATAATGCCTGGGTTTAAGTTCCATCTTAATAGAATTATTACATGATTGGTTAAATCACTGACCTCTGGTATCCTGAAGATCACTGGACAAAATAAGTATAAATAAAAGTATCTGTAATAGGTCAAGAGACCCTTGTCTTTTCCTGTCTCTAGTGGTTTTCAGTATATAGGCACCACCATTTCTTTTCTTTTTTCCTTCTTCATTGGTTTATGCACTTTTATTGAAGAAAAATTACTAGTAGAGTTATTAGTTGATTATTCATCCACTGACAGCTTGTTTCATTTATTCAGTGCTACCGTAAAGGACAGGCAGTCTCTGTTTTACAGATCTGTGCACTTTCTGCCATTAAGGGGTTATTTGGGTTTGGTTTACACAGCAGTGGACAAGTGGATAAAAGAACTTTAGAAGGCCAAGTATGGTGAAGCATGCCTGTAATCCTAGTTATTTAGGAGGGATACACAGGTCAATCAAAAGTTTAAGTATAGGGGCTGGAGAGATGGCGCAGTGGTTAAGAACACTGGCTGTTCTTGCAGAAGACCCAGGTTCAGTTTCCCAGCACCCACATGGCAGCTAGCACCTGTCTGTAACTCCAGTTCCAGGGGATCCGATGCCCTCTTCTGTCATCCTCGGGTATTACATATCACGGGAGCACTTAGAGACAGGCAATACACACATACACATGAAATAAAAATAAAATTGGAACAATACAGAGAAGATTAGCATGGCCCCTGCACAAGGATGACATGCAAATTTGTGAAGCATGCCATATCCATATATTTTTTTAAATTTTATGTGTATTCATGTATTGCCTGCATGTAGGTAAGTGCACCCGGGTCGTGCAATGCCCGCGGAGATCAGAAAGGCTGTTGGATCCCCCAGGACTGGAGTTACAGACAGTTGTTAGCTGTCATGTGGGTGCTAGGATTCGAACCCAGGTCTTCTGCAAGAACAACCAGTCTTCTTAACTGCTGAGCCATCTCTCCAGCCCCCATATCCATTTTTTTTAAAACAAGAAAAAATAAATGGTAGTCTATACAGGCTGGTGAGATGGCTCAGCAGTTAAGGGCACTGGCTGGTTCGATTCCTAGCACCCACATGGCAGCTAACAGCTGTCTGTAACTCCAGTTCCTGGGGATTCAAAGCCCTCTTCTGGCCCCCACAGACATTGTGTACATGGGTACATACATGCAGACAAAATAATCAGTTATACACATAAATAAAAATAAAGCAACCCCACCAAAATTTAAAGGGTAGTTTGTATAATTGTTAAAAAGAACACACAACCTTATATGGACTGGCACTAGATCCCAAAATTGTGGCTTGCCAATAAAATATATCATCCCTAGGGCTGGGGATGTAGCTTATCGGCAGAGGGCTTGCCTAACGTGCAAAATCCTAGGTTCAAACCCCAGTACCACCAAAAAAACTTTTTTTGAAGGTGGACCTGGATGGGCTGGAGAGATAGCTCAGTGGTTAGGAATGCGTACTGCTCTCCCAGAGGACCTGTGTTCAATTCTCAGCACCCTTGTTGGGAGGCTCACAACTGTCTGTAGCTCCAGTTCTAGAGGAATCTGATGCCTCTGGCCTCCTTGGGCATCTGTACTAATGGGCACATAGCCACACACAGACTATAAACACGCATGCATATATGTAATTTTTTTTTTTTTTTTTTTTGGTCTTTTTGAGACAGGGTCTCCCTGTAGCCCTAGCTGGCCTGGATTCGCTATGGAGACCAGGCTGGCCTCAAACTCTCAGAGATCCACCTGCCTCTCGAGTGCTGGGATTAAAGGCGTGGGCCACCACGCCCGGCCAGGCATATATGTAATTTTTAAAAAATCTAAAATATGGGTTGGGTGTGGTGGCAAATGCCTGTAATCCCAGCACTCAGGAGGCAGAGGTAGGTGGATTCTCTGTGAGTTCAAAGCCAATCTGGTCTACAATAGAGTTCCAGGCCGGCTGGGGCTACAGGGACACCTTGTCTCAAATAGACTAGAAAAAAACACAAAACCTAAAATACCTCAAAACACATCATCCCCAAGTAGACCTGTAGAACAGTGTGCTGAAGGGTGATGGGACCAAATCACCAAGTTCTGTATTAATCTGTTTCAGGACCACAGTCTGTTTTTTGCCTGGCTCCTTACTTGCCTCAATGCAAGTTCAAAGGTCCAGCCACAACTCTTTGATTATCTGGCAGCAGGGTAGGATTGTCTTCATCTGACATTGGCACAGAGGGGCCATGGCCTCCCTTGGTCTGTGGCTCTGGCTGTCTCTCTATGTGCTGTCATTTCTTATTCTTGCTCTGTTCTGTTGTGTCTTCCTGCCTCTCCCCTGCCCCTATTTTAGTTCTAGAGCATTTACCTAGTTAGGGAGAAAATGTGTATTTGTTTAAATGACGATTTAATTTTTTTTTAAACTTATTTAGTTTTGGAGACAGATTCTCACTATGTAGACCAGGCTGGTCTTGAACTCACAGAGATAGACTGTTTCTGCCTCCCAAGTGCTGGCATATAAAATGTGCACCATCACACATGTCCTAAATGACTATTTAAACATACAAATATGAGGGGAAAGAGAGATGACTCAGTGGTTAAGAGCTCTGGCAAGCAACAACCATGGGTAACTCCAGTTCTGGGAGATCCGATGCCCTCTTCTGGCCTCCTCAGGCATTGCATGCACATGGTGCACACAGACAAAACACTGAAGATACATTAAAAACAATAAATTAAAAAAAATTAAGCCAGGCGTCGTGGTGCATGCCTTTAATCCCAGCACTCGGGAGGCAGAGGTAGGCAGATCTCTGTGAGTTCAAGTCCAGCCTGGTCTCCATAGCTAATCTTGCTGTGGCTACAGGGAGATCAAGTCTAAAAAAAACAAACAAACAAACAAAAAATTTTTTTAAAGAGTGTAAGGATATGGAATGACATATCATGAGGTAAAAAATGCAAGAATCAAACTGTGTATAACAACTGTCATTTATATAAAGAAGGAAAGAGAACATTCATTTGTAAACTTATTTATACATAGAAAAGTTTTGGAAAAATATCCATAACAGGTAACTGGTTTTCTCTTCAGAGAGGAACTGGGAGTCTAGGAAGCAGATATGAGACTTTTTCATTAAACGTTTCATTATGCATTTTTTTTTCATTTACTTTTTTTGTTGTTGTCTTTTTGAGACAGGGTCTCCCTGTAGCCCCAGCTGTCCTGGAACTCACTATGTAAATCAGGCTGGCCTCCAACTCACAGAGATCGCCTGCCTCTGCCTCCTGAGTGCTGGGATTAAAGGCGTGCACCACCACGCCTGGCTTCATTTACTTTTTTATTAATGTCTAGTATACATACAGAAAAACTGAAAGTATAAATGTACAACCGGTGAGCTTTCATAAATTGACTAGACTCATGAAACCAGCAAATCAAGAAATAGGACTTTCTGAACTTAAAAAGTCCCATTTCATCCCTCTCAGTCACTTCTGCTCTGAAGGAAAACCACTATCTTGGCTATAACAGCATAGTTTTACATGTGCATGTTTAATTTTTTAAATTTATTTTTATTTTATGTGTATGAATGTTTTGCCTGCATGTATGTAAGTGCCATATGGGTGCTGGGAGGGAACCAAACCCAGGTCCTCTGCAAGAACAGCCAGTGCTCTTAACTGCTGAGCCATCTCTCCAGGCCCAGATAATCTGCTCAGCCATTAAAGACTAAGGCTTTAACAACCACAATGTCAAAAGTTCGGTTCCTTATACTGGTACAGTACCTGGCATGTAAACATACCTTTTAAAGAGGCTATCTTCTAGTTGCAGCACTAAAACCAACTCCTGGATGGGGTGATGAATTCACCTAGGGTTTATCTTACCGGTTGCCAAGGGCAAAATAAACTGAGATGGAACAGATGCAGATACCACGTTTCTTCTCTGATTCTCACCAAGGATAGCCCTATGTTGCTACTGCACTGATGTAAAAATGAGGTGAGGTTGGGCATTGCTTTTAAGTTGCAGGAATATGCGCTTGTTGGATCACTTGAGTCCAGGAGGTCGAGAGCCCATAAGATGAGCATCAAAGCCTATAGCAGCTTCATTTTCTGAAGACCCCTTCCTTGGTTGTCTCTGGGTAGGCTCTAGGCTTCAGTCTTGGGGACTAGCTGTGACACTCTTGTTCACTGAGATCCTTCTGGAATATCTGGTCTGGAATGGTGCAAAAAGCTTTGCCTTCACAATGACCTTGCTCCTGTAAAGACTCCAACATTGTACCCTGCATTCTGAGATACCCAAACTCATTACTGTGCTAGCCCTAGTGAAAAGCAAAGGTTTGCAAAGGTTGTGTGGTTCCTGAATGAATTCTGAAATGGGACATCTTTTTCTTGTACGGAATTAAAATTAGTTACATTGTTACTGGATTATATGATACAGCTAGCAAAAAAAAGAGGGCGGGAATGTGGCCCTTAGGATGTCAGTTAATTGCTTCTGAGCATCCTGGACTTGGTTAGACGTCCGTAACCAGGGCCTTTCAGTCTCCGAAAGACATGGAAACGACGTGAAAGTGGTGGGCTCCTGCACCCAGAGGTGGTAGCAGCCAGTGAATCCCGGGAGAGAGGCCCGTTGGTACGTAATTTTCCAAACGAGTGATTCTTGTCCTCCTCCGCAGAGCCGAACCGCCTAGATTCGCCGTCCGTTCGCCACCCACCCCCATCCGCGCAGTCGCCGTCCCTCTGCGCAGCCCCTCCCCCGCCGCGACGGCCTCCCCTCCTCCTCCTAGAATCTCCTCTCTGTCTCCCCCTCTCGGCTGGCGTCCGCGCTCCGCCCGACCCTCCCGGCGCCTGTTTGTGAATGAGGTGCTCAGTTTCTCAATGGAGCCGCGGGGGGCTCGGGCGGACGCGGCGCAGGCCGCAGCGCTGGCCCTGAGCCGGGAGGGGGGTGCCTTGTCCTCGCTCGCTCGTTCTCGCCCTCCCTCTCGCCGCTGCGGCTTTTGAGGAACTGGGCCGCGAGGCCGCAGGGCCGGCTTCCCGGAGGCCACCCGCTTCCCCAAGCCGCGGCGCTGGGCACAGGGCCGGCTTCCCGGAGGGCCGCCGGCTGCCGGGAGGACGCCGGGCTGCGCAGTTTGGAGCGGGCGTGTCGCGAGAGTGCAAGACTCCGAGGAAGCCTTCTCGAAATTTCGGCGGCGAGCCTTGGCGTTGGGCTTGAAAAGTTGTCGATTTCATATTTCCTTAAAAAAAAAAAAATCCGGCTACTGTGAGTGCTGCACTTTTCCTCCTCAGGAGGTAGTGTGAGGAAAGACGAGGAGGAAATAGGCATTTCCTCTCAGAAGGCAGCGACAGCTGAGCCTCCGCGGCGTTGGCAGCGCCGGGCCGCACTGGCCCCACCATGCGCGAACCGGCCGCGAGCTGGTGAGGCGCCGGGACGCGGAAGCGGAGGCTGAGAGCTGCACTCACGGACCGGTCCTGACCGCCCAGCGGCGGGATGGAGCCGGTGGCCGCGCCCCAGTCGGACATGGCGCCGGAGCTGACCCCCGAGGAGGAGCAGGTAAGCTCGGCCGCGGCGGTGGGTGTGTCCGAGCCTTGGAGGCCTAGGCGGGCCTTTGCCTCCCGGGGCTGCGCTCCTCGCCACCCACTCGCGTTCCAGGCCTGCGCACCGGCCTCGGGCCGCCCTCGGGCCGCCCTTCCCTGGAACCCTGGGACCCCCCGAGGCTTCTGGGACGCTGGAGCCGCCCTGTTCCATTCCAATGACAATTAAAGTTCCCCGACGTCTACGGAACACCTTGCCCCGGTCCCTTCTATTTGCTTATGAATGTTTTGCATATTTTCTTGAGGGATTGTTTTTTTTCAAGGGCAGGAAAAGCCGTTTGGGGGCGGATTTTTAACGAGGTTGTCTTCGTTCCCTAGACGAGGGGTGGCTACGCAGGGTAAATAGGTGCCCCAGATTTTCAAATGAGGCCCTCAGGCTTTTCAGACTGCTGTGATAGGCTCCCTTGGACAGATCCTATACAGATCTGGCCCTTCTGAAGCTCCCTATGTCCCTGGCGGTGACCTCCCTATTCTGTTTTCCCAGACTGGTCTCTTCCCCTCACCCCCATTTCCCTGCCCCCACCTCATCTGTTTCCATCTTTCCTAAGCTTACATTGGAGTTCTGTTGTCCCTTAAAGCTTATGACTTTAAGTTTTCAGAAAGAAATAGTTGACAATATCATTTTGGGGTAAGAGAGAAGCCTAGGGCTCTTAGAACTTTCTTTCTCCCATATACCAGCTGTGGAGACATCTGATGAGATTTGGAACCCTTAAGAGCTCTTGTCTTTTCCTTGGCTCTGCCCATACTCAAACATAGCTGTGCTCAAATATGGCTATAGTTTCGCTCTAACTTAAAAAATAAAAGAAAAAGGAAAAGGTGAGCCATGCTGGTAACCCATTTTAAACTCTCTAGCCTTTGTTCCTAAGGTCCACATTTGCTGCACAGTCTGTAGTGGGGAGACAATTTGTTTTGACAAACTAAAATTGTCTGAATGAATTTAACACCTGATTTTTTTTTTTTTAAAACCCTTGACTTTTCTTCTCTTTTGTGGGGATGACGTTTTTTCATATTTGACCAAAGATTACACTCATGCCTTTTTAATGCCTTTATATAAAATCAGTTGGTAGAGCATTAAAAAAAATCACCAACTTTGCATAAGCAGTAGTAACATCTTGGTAACTGCAACTGGGTGTTACCAAAATGCTAGTGAGACACTAAGGCAAGCTGGTGGGCAAGGACTGGAAATGCTTCAGTACTAAGGTATAATGTACTAGGTTGATTTTTTTTTTTTTTTTTCCTCCCTGAGCTACCTTTCTAACACTTTCATTATTTTTCTTTCATTGCCAAAACGGTCTTAAGATGAATATATTCCTATTGCCACATCATAGATCCCACTTTAGATCATTTTTTTCCTCTTTTTTCGGTGCTGAGGATTGAATCCAGGGCCATATCCCCAGCTTCCAGTGCAATTTTTATTTACCTGTCTCTTTCACATACAAGATTATAGGCTCCTTGAGGGTAGGACTTTGTCTTTCATACCTCTATCTTCTGTGTGTGTTCACAGTCATAGTATGTTGTGTGAATCTCAGAAAAAGCTGAAAATCCAACATACCCATTCTTAATTTTTTTTTTAATCCTGATAAAAGCCCTTTAAAATTTATTTTTATTTTACGTGTGTGAGTGTATTGCCTGCATGTATGTAAGTGCACCTGTGTCATGCAATGCCCACGGAGGTCAGAAGAGGGTATCAGAATCCCTTGGAATTGGCGTGATGGATGGTTGTTAACTGCCATGTGGGTGCTGGGAATGGAGGATGGTTGTTAACTGCCATGTGGGTGTTGGGAATGGAACTGGGATCCTTTGCAAGAGCAGCCAATGCTCTTAACTGTTGAGTCATCTCTCCAGCCCTCCCCTCTTTTTTAAAGATAGGGTCTCAATATGTAGTACTGGCTGGACTGGAACTCACTATGTAGAGTAGGCTGGCCTTAGACTCACAGAGATCCACCTGCCTCTGCCTCCAGAGTGCTGGGATCATAGTTGTGTGCCTCTACACCCTGCATAATAGAAACATTTAAAAATTTTCATATGTATGAGTATTTTACCTGCATGTATGCAAGTGTACCGTGTATATGCATTGCCCCCTGAGGCCAGAAGGGGACGTGAAATCCCCTAGAACTGGAGTTACTGATTGTTGTTAGCTGCCATGTGGGTGCTGAGAACGAGTCCTTTACAAGAGCAGTGAGTGCTCATAACCAGTGAGCCATTTCTCCAGCCCCAATAGAAGCATTTTTAAAACTGGATGCTGTTTATCTTTAAGAACTGGAGGCAACCTTTTTTTCTTTTCTTTTCTTTTTAGTTTAATGGTCAGATTAAATATTTATCAGTACTTTATTACTGATTCTAGAATCAGACAACTCTTCATTCCATAAAGTAGAATAAATGTCCCTATGGGCTGAACAGAATAGCTTGGTTTTATAAAGTGGGGGAAAAAAAAAAAGCTAAAAGTGGATCGGTAATGTTAAAGGTGCTTTATTTTCTTAATTTTTTTTTTCAAAAATTTAGATTTATTTATTTATGTGTATGAATGGTTTACCTGCATGTATGTAAGTGCACCTGTGTCCTCAGTATCCTCAGAGGCCAGAACAGGGCATTGGATCCCCTGGAACTAGTTATAAATGGTTGCTAGCAGCTATGTGGGTGCTGAGAACCAAACCTGGGTCCTCTGCAAAAGCAACCAGGGCTGTAAACTGCTGAGCCATATCTCCAGCTCCACATAACTTGAGTGTTGGGATTACAGATATGTCCCA